TCCACAAGTCTGCCGGCAGCTTCCCGAATATTCGCTTCTGGCTCCCACGATGTATCAGGAGATCCGACCCAAGCAACTTGCAAGTAGACGCTGCCATCGGGCTTCGTCTCGTGGGACATGACTTTGAAAACGTGCCACAACTCTCTGTCCACCATTGCACTTTCCCGTCCGCCCTTCACTCGTCTCCAGTAGGCGAACAAGGTCAGTGCAGCATCTTTCTGGAGATTGCTCTCGGGCTCCCAGGTCTCTTCGTCTCCCTCCCAACGGACATTGATCTCGAAAAGAGTGTCACAGGTAGGGTCACGGCGGTGCCCAAGCAGCTCCTTGATAAGGAAATAATCGGTCTGCAAGTCAGCCGTGGCTTTTTTGACACTCTCCTCGGCCTCTTTGGCGACTGTCGACAAGTTAATATGGAAGTATGCATTAACTAAACAATGTATCATACCTGGCAGTACATCCTCCCAAAAGACGGTGGTAGCTTCAGGCTCAGGGGTAGAGCTGTCTGGTTCCTTTGAACAGTTCATCTCGGCCACCGGGGCATTGGCAGCAGTTGTCAACACATCGAGACGACATGCCGTATTCGGATCGGGGAGGAGATAAGTGATACGCATTCTGTAGGAGAATCTGTGTTTCGTGCGTGAGAGGATGAGAAGCGTCAAATGCAGGGCGTTGGATAAAAATGAAAGGAACAGGCGGCCAGCCCAGCTATTTATCGGGCTGAGCAGCTGTCCAACTAGGCCTTTTGTCAACAGGGATCTGACGCATCCCCGAAAATGGGCTGCTTTTGGAGCGAAGCTCAGAGACTGGTGTGGGGGGGGGGGTGGGGGGAAGGGGGCACGGCCCAATTAGGAACATCGGTTCATTCTCGCGACGGAATTGTTCGTCTTGTGACACTGATTTCCTGCTGAACATAGAATAGCAAAGACACTCATGGCTATGGTGTCAATATCCTGTCTCGCCGCCGCAAAGTGAGCATGGATTGAACACGCGATTTAGTGGCGCAGCCTCCGTGTGTGTCAATTGGCTGAGCTCCGAAGCTCGGCGCCGGTTCTCATCGGCGCCCGGGCTGGTATCTCGGTCAAATGTGGGGCCATCCGTTCCAAGCAGGACCAGTAGGCTTTCCTGATCATGACCAGTTGGCGCACCCCAATTGACGACTCTGCCGCAGGGCTTCCTTATCCCCGATACAAGATGTTTGACTTGCGTCGTGACTTTCATTCTTGCATGCGACATTCAGCGCAGTGAATCCCTTGTTGCTGGTATATATATATGACGATTGCCGGACTCATGTCGTTGACAGATCTGACCTTCAGCTGGTTGGTTGTCGCGGAATGTAGAACATGATATGCCGGAGGCTATTGCCTGGTAACCATCGTATTTCATGGTTGAGCAAGAGCCTCATCTCCGGTGTCTTCATTGTCGCCGAAGGGAGACCATGTCCTAGACATTGTTGGAGTTCATATGATGGCGAACATGATGCTAGCCGGCAGTACTTTCCGACTACTCAAAGCGCTGTTTGTGAAACATCCTCAGATATGCGACGTTGAACCGCCAGATCTGGATTGATGGATTGCAAACACTCAAACACCCCATCTGTCCATGCTGCAGGACCGGTGGGGTTCAGAAACTCGAAGCTCGTGGGCTTGAACTTGATCTCCCGGCCCCCTTACTGGCGCGCTAGATCCTTCGCGGATACAACTACGCGAGCTGCCATCTTATGAAGCATGGGATGTCCAGGTGCTGAGGCAATCGTCCACTGGGCAAATGTAACGGACGAGGTAAGACTTCCCATGGCCTACCATCACGCTGGTCATACTCGGTGCCTATGACCAGGCCGGTGTTGTCTCGCAGATGGGATGGAGTCCATGAGTCAATGGGTTTGAGGGAGATAGTGTTGGTCTCAGTGTAGGCCCCACCTTCGGCTTCGAGCAGAAGATATCGGAGGAAATCAGATCTCAAATCGACGTTGTGTGGGTTGTCGTACACGCGGAAAATGTCGGAGGTATTCCCGAAGCGCCATTTGAGTAACCCGTAGCCTCTCTTGCTGTCTACTAGCGTACAATGATATCTCAGTTCACGTTCTACCGTCGGCCTTCCTTTCAGGCACTAAAGAGTCACCGCGCAGTTTTGTGTGGAGAGAAGAAGTTAACGTACTCTATGTAACCTTTATTGAGTGCCAGCCACGTGCGCGTGTGCTCTAACTCTGTTTTGTGTATATAGTCCTACTCACCTCTGGATTTTAGCGGCATGATCTGCCAGATACGGGAGGGTATGAGATGCTCTGGTTGCATCGGATGCCACCCAAACTACGCACGCTTAGGAGACCACGAGCTCATCGATCGACTGAGTATCTTACAGGAGCTTGCACCCAAGCAGGCGCCGTCAAACCTGTCGCTTGGTCATCATGCGGTCGGGTGATGGTGGTGAAGAAGATGACAGTAATGAAGATGGTTAGTTGTGAGCATACCGCGACCAGCATCGGACTCTGGTTTTGAAGTTTTGGGATTGGATCTGTCGCAACTGTTTATGAATCTGCCTGTGGGACAGAAACGTTACAAACGTAGAACCCCTGCCACAACCAGAGATGGCTGTGTTGCAAGAGCTTCGGATCAGGAACCGGACATCCACTTCGGTCGCGACGCCAACGAGCCGCGTGGAACATATTCAAGGAATCGGATACTGTGCTGTTTGCGGCTGTACAGTGTGCAACCGGGTGTGGAATCGGCTCCCGCTTTTTCAATATTGGGATAGAATTCATCACCGTGGCTTATGGGTCCTCTCGCTAACTGGGTGTATGGCGATACACAGAACCGTTTGCTACGTGGTTGACAAAACAACTACAGAAAGCAGCAATTGGCTCCTGGCATAATCCAACCCAGCAAGCAGGACGGTTCCTTGGTGGTTTCTGGCTTTCCCAAAGAACCGGTGTCAGCCTCTAGTGAGTACAATACTGTACTGCATACTGACCTTCATGTACGATGTCAGAAAATGCAGCCACAACTGGCTGCGCCGAAAGGAACTCTAGATTATGAACCAGAAACTGATTTCGGCCGGAAGCGTACCTTCCTATCCCAATTGTGCGTTGTGTGCGTCTGTTTTCGGAGCTTTGTGGGTCGTGAGCTGGTACCTACTCGCTCGCCCTTGTCATCAAGCACCTTGGCTTCATGGCTCGTCTGGGAGAGGATCAATCACTGCAGCCACGTGAACTTCAAGGAGCACATTAGAACATTTCTGCACGTTCAAACATGGCCAGTACAGTACTTCCTACAGAGGGATTCGAAATCGGTTTCCATGTTCTAAACACAGAAACTCTTCTGGGCACAGGCATTTGTGGATCCGCTTGCTGACCAGACACATGATGGGGCCCAGAGAGTACATTCTGTGATGACCTCTAAAGTCGGAGCCAGAAATGGATTTTACACTGTGTTTGCGGTTTGGACCCCTGTCGCATAGTCCAAGATCCACAAACGGCGGTGATGATTTATGTCTCGGTTTTATGTCAGTTGCTTATGTTCACTGCAATTCATGCATAGCTCATACCTAGTTCTGCATCCACTTGTTGATTGTCCTATGTCCAAAGACAGTCCTCCGATCTGGCTCCAAGCCTGATCACGCTGGGACTATGGCATCGACTATGGCAGCAAAATTTCTTGTTCAACGCCAGAACTTCGGCTTTGCACTCATCCATCAGCTATTCTGGCTTCCATTAGCCAGCTGAATTCCGTACAAATATGCTTCACTCCATGCAAAGTGCCAATGAAGTGTCAAGTGTGACAACGTTCTAGAAGCTTCCATTAGTTGGCGACGTGACAGGGGTTGCAGGTGCACCTGCTGTCACTGCGACAGGCGGAAAACAGGTGTTTCTCCGTTGATTCTTGGGGCTAATAAATGATGGCTTTACCAAGCATTTGATTTTGGGTTTCACTCCCCTCGCTTCCCCACTTCAATCACTCTCGCAGAATTAGTCTTTGTGATCAAGCTTGTGTGATGTTCAGCCATATTGACAGCATCTACGCTAATCTAAATCCTCCGCATCATTCCACTGCCTGAAAATTGGCTATCACTAGCTATTAGTTACTCCGGATTCATTGCTGCCGGTCACAGGCCCCGCAAAACGGTTATGGCCTTCGGCTGACGGCCTTCGCCTGGTGGCTCGAAGATCGTTATCCAATCCCGGCTCTCTGTTGGCTGGGAAGAGAATGCTGTAGCTGCCCTGGAGACCCCACCTCTCCAGTCCCACCGCTTTCGCTGATTTCAGATGACCCCTTCCCGGTAGATTGTGATGCCAATCAATCGTCGGAATCTCCACGTGTCCTCGCCCTGCCTCCTGCGCTCGATCGTCTGAAGGTCATCATCCGAACTCTATGTATTGAACAAAGGCCATCAACAAAACTGGACCGGGCCGAACCGAGACACGCCGTCATGTGGCCATAGCCTCAAGCCCCGTTCCCACCGTTGAGAATCTAGTCATTCGGTCAGAGTCGTTTATCGTGCGACACCCTTGTCGCCCGAACTTAGGTGATAGTGGCATCTGAGGCATCTCCCACAAAGGCCTCGCGCAGGATTCGAAGCAAACACAATACTTACATTTCACCGGCAGAACAGGTTCTAGAAAGTCATGGGACTTGCAATATCTGGACCTTGTATGGGCGGCCACCATGGCAGTAGCGACGGGGTTGCCTTATCCTGCCATAGATCTCGACACCCCAATACCCACACCTGGAGCAACCCGCAGCCAATCACACCAACATCAGTCATTTATTAGTGCTTATTCTGGATGGCGGTTAGTCCTGCAGGCTGCGACAATGCCACGCCACCACGTCTGACCCCTCTCGACAAGGCTGAGATCATAACTCTGTCCGCGCCAGGTCTCGACGAGGGCACAGAAGTCTTCACAACACGAAAATGTTCAACGCCACGTTGGCTGCTACACCTCGCTTCCTCTCGTGGTTTTGTACTGCTGCCCTTTTGCTGGGATCTGACACTGAAACCGATGCGACATGGCCAAGTCCGTCCCTGCCCGCGACTTTACCGTCGGCTGGGTCTGCGCTCTGCCCATCGAGCTGGCCGCCGCGGCCGAGATGATGGACGAGGAATTTGCCGACCTTCCGTCCCAGCCATCTGATACCAACATCTACTCCTTCGGCCGCATCGGCGTGCACAATGTCGTCGCTGCCTGTCTGCCCGCCGGCCAGATGGGCACGAACCAAGCCGCTACGGTCGCCAGCCAGATGAGAACCAGCTTCCCCTCTCTGCGCTTTGGCGTCCTCGTAGGCATCGGCGGTGGCGTCCCAGATCTCAACGACGACATCGACATTCGGCTCGGCGACGTGGTCATCAGCCAGCCGTCAGGGCAGCACGGTGGAGTAATCCAGTATGACTTCGGCAAGACTGGGGCCGGCGGTCGCGTCGCTCGCACCGGTAACCTCAATGCGCCACCAACTGTTCTCCTCAACGCCTTGGCCAAGCTCCGCTCTAATGACCTTCGGCGCAAGACACAAGTCCTCACGCATCTGTCGCAGCTCTCTGGCCAGCCAGAGTTTGCGTCGCCGGGCCCTGATAACGATATTCTCTATGATGCATCATCGGCCCATATTGGCAGAGCTATATGTGCAAAATGCCGTCCAGAAGATGTAGTAGATAGGGATGCACGCGCGACGACGAAACCAATCCTCTTCATCGGCAACATAGCATCGGGGAACCAGGTGATGAAGGATGGTCAGACGCGCGACAGATATAGTCAGGAGCTGGGAGGCGTCTTGTGCTTCGAGATGGAAGCGGCCGGCTTGATGAACAACTTTCCTTGCATTGTCATTCGCGGCATCTGCGACTATGCAGATGCGCATAAGAACAAGCGGTGGCAACCATACGCAGCAGCGACGGCAGCAGCATACGCGAAAGAGCTGCTATGCATCATTCCACCACTAGTTTCGAGCAATCTAGATAGCTCAGAGAATTGTAAGACAAGTGTATGATACATTAGCTAAGATACTAATGCCTACTAGCCTGTCCAAAGCCCCATTTTGTCGTTCCGTTTGGACGAAACGAAAACTTTGTCGGCCGAGACGAGACTTTGACGCAGCTCCTCAAGAGGATCCCACCGAATATCAACAAAGACGCCTGTCAGAGGACTGCAGTCGTGGGCCTCGGAGGGATAGGTAAAACACAGGTTGCCATCGAAGCTGCCTACCGTGTTCGCGATGCACACCCAGACTGCTCCGTTTTCTGGGTACCGGCTGTAAGCACAGCCATGTTCGAGAATGCGTATCGCGAGATCGGCCGGACGCTCCACATCCGAGATATCGAGGATGAACAGGCGGACGTTAAAAGCCTGGTGAAGGCTGGACTAGAACGGGACGATGTTGGCTGCTGGCTTCTTATTGTTGATAACGCTGACGACATGGAGTTGCTGTTTACTGGCCCTAAGTTGACGACGTATCTCCCTTCCAGTAGGAATGGCTCTATCCTACTCACAACCCGAAACCACCAGGCCGCAGCGAAGTTCAGTCGTGGTCACCCTATGCGTCTAACGGAGATGGGTGCGACAGAAGCCACTCAGCTCCTATGCACCGGCTTGGACGAAGGCCAGATGGGCGACAAGGAAAGCACGAAACAGTTGCTCAACCACCTCACCTCTCTGCCCTTAGCTATACGACAGGCATCGGCTTACATGGCTTCTAATAAGAACGTGACTGTATCCAAATACCTTGGATATTGTAAGGCTAGTGATAATAAGCTGGTGAAGCTGTTGAGCAAGGACTTCGATGACCAAGATCGATACGAGGATATTCGGAACCCAGTGGCCACAACGTGGCTGATCTCCTTTGATCACGTCTCACGAGATAACCCACTAGCAGCAAGGTACCTCAGTTTCATGTGTTACCTCGCAGAAAAAGATATTCCAAGAGCTCTTTTGCCCCCTGCGGAGGACGGAATGGATACAGACGACGAAATGGACACCAATGAAGCGATTAGCACGCTGATAGCCTACGCGTTCATCTTGCAGCGTGATGCTGTGGATAGGTTCGATATCCATCGACTGGTGCGCTTGGTGATGCGAAACTGGCTAAGGGAGCAAGGGAAGGAAGAAGAGCAGGTGACGGAGACGATTTACTGGCTTTGCGAGAGGTTCCCTTGGCCAAACCACAGGAATAGAGATGTGTGGATGGCCTACTTACCACATACGCAAGCGGCGCTTCAAGTTAGAGATTGGTGCACAGACGACGAAGCGTTATGGGATCTCCTGTCTAGGGCAGGAGAAAGCAATAATCTGCTTGGGAGGTATGGCGAGGCAGAGCAGATGTATCGACAGACACTGGAGCTGAGGAAGAAAGTGCTGGGACCAGAGAATCCCTCGACACTCGCCAGCATGAACAACCTGGCAGAAGCGCTTCGAAAACAGGGGAAGTACGACGAGGCAGAACAGATGCATCGACAGACACTGGAGCTGAGTGTGAAGGTGCTGGGACCAGAGAATCCCTCGACACTCAGCAGCATGAACAACCTGGCACTCGTGCTTGAAAGCCAGGGGAAGTACGACGAGGCCGAGCAGATGCATCGACAGGAACTGGAGCTATGTAAGAAGGTGCTGGGACCAGAGAATCCCTCGACACTCAGCAGCATGAACAACCTGGCACTCGTGCTTGAAAGCCAGGGGAAGTACGACGAGGCCGAGCAGATGCATCGGCAGACACTGGAGCTGAAGGAGAAGGTGCTGGGACTGGAGAATCCCTCGACACTCGACAGCATGAACAACCTGGCACTCGTGCTTGAAAGCCAGGGGAAGTACGACGAGGCAGAGCAGATGCATCGACAGACACTGGAGCTGAGGGAGAAGGTGCTGGGACCAGAGAATCCCTCCACACTCACCAGCATGAACAACCTGGCAGAAGCGCTTCGAAGCCAGGGGAAGTACGACGAGGCAGAGAAGATGCATCGGCAGGCACTGGAGCTGAGGCAGAAGGTGCTGGGACCAGAGAATCCCTCCACACTCACCAGCATGAACAACCTGGCACGCGTGCTTCGATATCAAGGCAAGCATGAAGAGACAGAGGAGACGCATCGACAGGCACTGGAGCAAAGGGCGAAACATAGAGACATGTTCCACGTCGGCAGGAGCGCGAGCAACTATGGGCCTTCTCAGGACCATGTAGAGTGGAAGAGACCACTGAGTTTTCTCTATACATCCGCACATAATCCAAGGGAGAAGGTTATGGGATCGGCGAATCCTTTAAGACTTAGAACAGAGCATACCCTGTACGCTAGTTTGAAAGTTGGGACGGACTCTAGTTCTACGGCTTCGGTAGACTGAATCTGCTACAGCATTTGTCACGATATCCTTCTGGTGTAAGTCAATTCTGCCTAGATAGACTCCACCAAGCTTTGTCAGTGACCCGTGACTTCATAAGCGGTCTTGCGGTGAAATACACCTGGATAATTCAAGCCACTTTTGACCTTACAACCCTATTGCATACGGCAGGCTCTCAGCAAACATTACAATCTGAGGGTCTATCTAAAATCAGCAAAAGCGGCTGACCCTGTATGACGTGTGATCGATGGGGCTGGAGAGGTGTGTGCAGTCAGGTGGAAATAAGCAAGTAGCATAAAACCGAGACCGCACTGGATTATCACCGCCATTTGTGGATGTTGGATTATGCAACATGGGTCCGACCACGAACACAGTGTAGAGGCAGTTTCTTGCTTTGCTGGGGAGGTCGTTAAGGAAGGTACTGTCGGGGTCCCATTATGTATCCTGTCAGCGAGCGGATCCACAAATGTCTGCGCCCAGAAGAATTTCTGTGTTTAGAACATGGAAACCGATTTCGAATCCCTCTGTACAAGAAAAGCCACATTCTCTTCGAACTGCAACGCCAACCCATCTTTCACTACCTGTCCTTCAAGTGACAACTACGTTTCACTTTCTGCATACACCGACCACCTTTTCACGGCTCCAAACAGCGTCCACCATGGAAAGACAATCAGTCGACCAAAGCAACAGCGATAACGACGCATCCATGACCGAGTGGCAAGTGCAACGTATCCAAAGACATAGCGTTGTTCGTGATGCAATCTACTACCACGTGGTTTGGAAACCAACCTGGGAACCCGAAGATAAACTTCAACACATGCTACCCGAAGTCATTGCTTGGAACACTTGCCACGGCTATCCTGAATCCAGAAGAAGACCGTCGAATCAGTTTGACCCCACTCTGGAGCATTGGTCGGGAAGGGTCATCGGGAGAAAAAAGGTGGACGGCCTGGCTTACTACAAGATCCAGTGGGAAACGACCATGGAGCCGGAAGCCAATCTGGAGAATGCAAAAAGCCTCGTGAGGGAATATTGGGATACATTCTACAAAGCCTAGCCAAGTCTGAAGGATGTGTAGTGGCTCGAACCGTTGTGAAGGTAGTAATCGATCACTTCCATGTCGAAGCATGCATAGATGGGACGTCCGCTTTTGACCGCAAGAAACCGTAAGGGAACTCCCACGGCTGTACAGTATTCAAAGATGATGCTTTGATTCGATCTTGAAACGATATGGACACAGCAGGTTCTTACCTTCCGAGATGGTTGAAGTCATTCGGCTAAATCGGACAAGCCTATCAGTGAGTCTTACCCATAGACAGGTGCAGCTGTGAGCTCAAACCGCGCCCTTTTTCGGCACACTCACCAGATCTCTGGACACCTTCCACGAAATGCCACGACTAGCGCGATTCGATTGCTCAGGGCACTTTGTGTGTATTCTTTGATGCACTTGTGTTCGTTTTTTAGTCCGTCTTGTGATGACCTGTCGCTGTTCTGAATTGCCAAGTTCTTGTTAATCATCACCAAAACCTGTGGGACTATCGAGAGGAACTATGGATGTTTAAGGTCCCCCAGTCACGTATAACGCACCCGTTTCGAAGCAGCATCTTCCTCTTCCATATGCCTCTTCATCGGGCTTTTGCTCTCGGTCTGTGGCGACTCCCTCGCCTCAGCAGCCCGTCCGGTCGTGTCCTCTGCTGCGGTCATTGCCAACGCCAGCAGCGGAGCGAAAACGTCGTCCCTAATGCTTGCGTTCCCATCGTCGGATGCCTGACCATACGTCTCCTTCAGGGCATCCCCGAACGTTTTGTCCACAAGGCCTGCCTGCAAGTCTACAACGGAGTTGGGTGTCTCCGAGCCTTGTAGCGACATTGAAAACGCCGCCGGCGACACGGTACCGCACGACAGCTCCATGGGAGACATCTCGATAGGAAACATCTCGAGCTCCAAGCGTCTGATACGCTCGTCTTGCGCGTGAATGGTCTGACATTGCGCTTCGATGCGTGCCTTGTCTTGTTGGTTCTCTCGGTAAAGTTGCTGAAGCTGGGCATCTTTAGAGGCGGCATACTCGCGCCAGCGTGAGATGCATATAGTCATCTCGTGTATGATGATTGCGACGAGCCTTGCAGTGAGATTGTCGGCTCTGGCGTTAGGTGTAAGCTGAGGCACGTCCATTTTGATGCAAGTTGGTTTTCAAAGCTCAAATCGATTATCTGGTGTCCTAGACACTGCGTCCTTTTCAAGGAAAGCAATATCATTGGAGCATGTTCACGCGAGCACAAAGCTGATGGTGAGAAGTCGTTGTCATTGCGTAGCCAGAATAAGCTGCGCGTTTTGAAAGACGGTTTCACCGCTAACTAGCCCCGCTCACAGCAGTCCGCCTACGTAGGTGTATTCCGGCAATAGATGGCCTCAAACAATCGAGAGTCACTACTGCACTCCAGAAGAGCACATATGTGGTTTTGCGTTTTCTCCTCATTTGTCCTACTTCTTTGGCAGGCGGAGGTCTTGAGGAAGCAGAGCGTTGAAATGGGGTCAAGTCATCGTGATCCATCCTGTCGCAACGACGCGATGCTTGTGCCGCGGCTTAGCCATTCCCGACTTTAGGTTGTTTTCCTTCAGACCATACACAGCAAGTAAAAAGCTGCCGCTTATCCTCGATGTGGTGAAAGTGCACAGCACGCGTACGTACAGACGTATCAATGGATGACTCCAAGCCACATTTGGATACAGCTACAAACTGCTCAACGAGTGAACTCACAACTCGATATTTTCCGCGTTACAGTACAGAAAGGTACAGTGCATACAGCGAAGGGAAGACAGCAAGAAATCAAACTGCATGCTTCCATTCAGCCACGGTTAAACATACAGCCAGCCAGTCATATGCAGGTAGGGTGCTCTATAAGGCACCCCGGTGAGTTGGTTGTGATACTACATCACTTGATTTGGAAAGTGTCACGGGGAGCCATCGTCACTTGGTCAAATCTTGCCTCGGAAATGCTTCTTCCACAAGCGTATCGACTTTTTCCTCATCACTTGCTTCATCCAAGCATGCCATTCCTTGTAGGTGTCTTCCCAGTTGTTGGACTTGAGCCTGAGGGTGTGGATTGCCTAAAACCATGCATCTTCCGAGAAAGCCTGCTGCAGCTCATAGCCCGTCACAGCCAAAGGATAGAAAACGACCAATCGCCTTCCGAGAAGTACCTTGCAACTGTCATGCAACTCGTCATAGTTTTTGCGCTCCATCCTCGTTGTGACAACAGTAGTGATCATTGGCTCATTCATGATTAAACCACTCTCGTTCTGGTATCACTCCAGTCTGCCTGACCCGTGTGGCTAGGACTTGATAGTATAAATTCACGGTTGGACACACAGGCTATCATCTCTGAGTTTGTCTCTCTTGCCGTCTTCTTTCAAAACCACGCAGCCCATTGTCCTTTTACCAGCGCACTTCTCTCATTCTACTCGTGCTAACTACATCACTCCCACAAGGTTGACATACTGCAATGACCGGCCTCCGCTACAAGAACTCGACGACTGCTCCTTGGGTCGATCGGGTCACAGCAACCGTTGGAGTGGTCGCCTCCTGGTTGAAGACTTTACGTGCGTCGAGACCATTGTTCTGTCAGATCGAAAGCATTCTGATCTTTACCACAGTTACCCCACTCAAGAAAGTCACAAAAGGCTTCAAGGCTGCTAATAACAGCCCCAAAGTAAGTGGTAACACTTTACCTTTTGCCATCGGTTCAGGTTTGACAAAGGTCAGGATGTCCCTCCGCAGGAACCCCCCTGGTGGGAACTCAATGGTCCGGCGCCTCCAGGGCTTACCCCTCATGGTACACGTCAGAACTTTCGCTGAAGGAAATATGTCTTCTGTGGCATCCTTGACTAGGACTTCGACTCCTTGTTGTATACAAACTTAACGTATCAGTTATCACGTCCAGTATACGACTGGCAGCGAACATGGAAGACAGTTGATTCGCTTCTCGCGTGGCTTGGCGGCTCGTCCCTTATCGATGCATGCTAAGACTTCCAAAGACCTTCGATCATTGCTTCTCCCTCAACTTTTCTCACCAATTGTACGAGCACCATCGGGATACAGGGTGACGCCGGTGGACTGCGAGTTCTGCGGGGAGACGTGCGTAGAAACCTGGCCATTTCTATGGCTGCGGCTGTCTCATGCCAGTGTCCTTTCGGGGCATGTCAATTTAAGGAGAGGAAAGCCGCGGAAGGTAAACGAAGTGAGTCTGTAAGATATTTGACGCATACTTGGCGCAAAGCCTGTATGGAAGAAAAAGCGTTACAGAGGGGTGAGGGGAATGAGAGGTTGGTTGACCACAAGCCGTCTCAAACCCCTTGATCGTCGGATTCACTGCGGGACTCATCGAGATCTCACAACGTCATATGTGAAGAGTAGACGGTAGACATTAAAAAGTGCCCATTACGGCGAACTCAAGCTTCCCACGCCTTCCAGACCAGACCGCGAAACCCAAACCCAACCCTGGCTACCAGGATACGACAAAACTTGCCCAGTCATCTAGCGAACAACTACACAGATGTCTCCATTGCTGAACCCCACCTAGAAAGACAAGCGGCTCGATGTTCTTGTGCGGGATGTTCGCGCCAGTCCACCACGCAGTGCTGTCGCGAAAAAGAGTCGACTCGAAGGCATCCATTACAAGACTTTTCCACGAGCGGCAAGACTCTTCCGATGGCTCGATCGAACGCAGGCCGTCTTCGCGCATCCGCTCCAGGAGGCTTACCACCCAGTCAACCTGAAGCTCGATGAAGGGCGGTGCGTTGGTTTGCGTTGTCGGCCCTTGCGGCCCGTATAGCACGAATGCGTTTGGCATATCGGGAACCATCATGCCAAGATACGTGCTGATGCCGTTCTTCCAAGCGTCCCGTAGCCGGACGCCGTGCTTGTCGCGGATGTTCATGTCAAGCAGGCTACCCGTCAAAGAGTCGTAGCCGGTGGCCATGATGACGATGTCCATATCGTGGTG